TCACCGTGGCCCTTCCCGCAAGAAAGGCGGCAGCTCGGAAGCCCGACGCAGCCAGCGTCATCGGCCTCCCCAAGCCCCTGGACCGGAGAGTCTTGGGAAGGGTTTTATGGGTGGAGCGCATCAGCCTCTTGGGCAGCAGCCAACGTTCAGGGACACTGTGACCTTCAGCTCCAGGGATCCTCAGAGCTGGGCTCCTGAGGCAGCCCCTCTGCGGGGCAGCTCTACCCCAAAGCGCTCCCTTGTCGCTGGGCAAGCCCACAGAAGGGACATCCCTTCTACTGAAGAAGGCACCTGTGTCTGGCACGGTCAGTGGAAACGGGATGCGTGGCTCGAGAGAGTTTCAGGAGACACCACTGGAATCCGGCAACATGGCAGGTGTGAAAGAAGGGAGGGGGAGAGAGGTGACGGAGGGGGAGGGACGGCGCTGTGTGACGGTGAGACAGGCTAGGGCTGCAGGTGCTCACTGTTCTCTGTGACCACCGTGAGACCACTGTGTCCCCTCCTAACCCGGCCATGCCCCATGTAAATATACAAGGTGACCGTGTGGCCCCGCCGGTCCCTCTAGGTGGGCTCTGCCCAACGGGAGAAACCCCACGACTGGGAGAGGGCTGTGGACCCTCTCCTGATGGGGTGGCTTTGAGAACTGGCCACTGGCCATCAGGGACATGGCTGCCTTGCCCACTCTGCCTGCCCCTGGCTGTCACCAAGCATGGAGGAGCCACCCAAAAGGGTCAGGACAGAAAGATCGTCCTCTTTGCTATCCTGTGGATTCCTTGTACTTTCCACCCTGGAGAAACTTAACTCCACTTCTTGGGGCCACAGGGAAGCACTGCAGTCCTTCTCCCTCACGACAGCAGTAACAGTGTAGCTGGCACACTGAGTCTCTTTCCTATCTCCAGCCCCCTTGACTGGAAGCTACGGGACAAGGGGCAGCACTAGGGCGGCAGGACAGCTTCAGATGACCTAGTCCCCACCTCTGGTCACAGCCCATGGGCCGGCAGGGCTGGGGGGCTCATCCAGGCTAACCAGCCAGCATCCAGGCCATGACCCGGTAACAAAGACGAGCTGAGAAATTCAGACTCTCTCTCTCTTTCTCTCGGAAACTTTCTACAAACCAGTATGGAGGGGGTGAAAGCCTGCCTGGAGGATGCTCGAAGGGTCAGATGAGTGCTGAAGGTACAAGTCCGTAGCAGCTGGGGGACAGGGAACAGAGGTGCGAGGAGGGGGGGCTGCGGAAGGTTGGTAGGGAGCTAGGAGCTGCGTTAGGCTCCCAGAGAGCCTCCCCCTGCACACAGCAGCCGGGGACCTTTCCAGCACACCCACCCAGGCGTCGTGCTCTCCCGGGGAGTCCTCCCGTTTGGACTGAAACCCAAACTCCTTCCTGTGGTCTTCTAGGCCCCTCCTACCTGCAGCCCTGACCTCCACCGCCACCTGCTCCCCCTTCCCACACTGGCCACCATGCCTCTCAGCTCGTGCCCACTGCCCATTGCCCTGGCTGTGCCCCCACCTGGGAGACTGTCCCCCAGGTCTCAGGGCAGGTCTCAGCTGAGATATGGCTCCTTGGGAGGCCTTGCTGCCCACCCTTGCTAAAGTGACTCTTGCCACAGACACAGCGTGGCCCCAGCCCCTGCTCTGGCCACGTGCCTTCCTACCCCTTCCCCGCGAACGTGAGCTCCAGGAGGGCCGAGCCTGGCCGGCCTTACTTACTGCTCTGACCCCAGCACCATAAGTGTCCAAATCTCAGTGGGTACTCGGTAAGTGATCACGCAATGAAGTCAGTACCATTCAGTGACTTCTGTGCCAGGCCCTGCTTGAACCTCTCTACAAACACCACTAGCTCGCCCGATCCTCAGTAACTTCCTGACGAGGCAGGGACCGTTATCAACTCCACTGGACAAGTGAGCAAGCAGGCACTGAGGGGTTAAGTGGCTCAGCCAAGATCAGACCAGCAACCAGTAAGGGGTGGAGCCCAGGTTTGAACCTGGGCTGCTGGGTTCCAGGGTCTATGCTCTGAACCATTCCTCTGGACTTGTCTGTCACCTGCTGCCAGGTGTTCCCAACCGAGGCAGCAGACAGCCCCTGCTGACCAACCACCTGCGACACACACTGCACACGTTCCCCATCAGTAGCCCTGGGAGGTTTCATCGATGGTTAAACCGAAGCTCAGCAAGGTTGCATTGCCGGCTCCAGGGCACACAGCCAGTAAACAGTCCAAAACCCGTCCCCGTCCACTCTCCAAGGGCCCGGAACTCAAAAGCCCCAGTGAGCCGGTGGAAAATGGAAGCATGAGATAAGAGAAACAGCCGCCCAAGCGTGATGCCACTGGGCCTCACCACTGGAGCGCTAGAGAGTGGTGGGGCCGCGACAAACAGGAGTGCTCCCGCCCTGTCCAAAGGGGGGCAGCCACAACTCCGCTCTTGCTGCTGGCTGCCTGATGGGAAGAAGGGGGCCAGAACTTTCCATTTTTTCCCAGGGAAGTAGGAATATAGATTTTTTTATAAGTATGAAATCTTGTGAATATAAATGTTGGTAAGTGACCAGAAGTCTTTCTGTAAATGGTGTGAGTCCAAAAAACATGACCTGGAAGCAAGTTTGACCCATAGACTTTAAGTTGTTAAGCTTGGAACTCCACCAGGCCAGCCCCCAACATGTTTGGAATCAATTGTCACACCCTCCTCCCAGCTAAGCAGTCCTGATGTTTCTACAGTGGGAACTTTAAGGGCAGGAACTGAGCCTTCTTGGATGTTTGTTTATTAACCCCAGAGCCCTGCACAGTGCCTGGGCTCTTCTAGGTGCCAATAAAGGTCTGTTACATTAATGGCTGATGTCTTCCATGACATGCATTTGAGCCCACCCACCACTTGGGAATGCTCCCTGGTTTGTCCCTACCTCTGAGCGGTGGCCCCCAAAGGCCCATGTGTGGGTGGAGCAGAGTCCACACAGCACCTGTCACTCAGTGCCCATCCCACTCCCAGGCTAGGGGCCTGGCTGAGTAGCAGAGGCAGAAAGCAACTGCGTTTTCCCCGAGCTCCGGGGCAGCCTAGGTGGTGGGTGTGACTTAGGTTCAGCCTCACACGTGACAGGGAAAGCAGAAGTGAGGGGAGGCGACAAGGGGGACAGAGGTCAGTTGATTCTGTGCTGAGCACCGTCATGGAGGTGACAGGTTTTTCAATGCTGTCCCCTACTTCACTTGCTAGCCAGGCTATGGGGCAGGGGTCAACCTTCCTCCGCACCGTCGCTCTAGCAGGCCCAGGGTCACTCTGTGGCCAGCAGTGGGGGCAGTTGCTCCCTGATTCCTGGGTCACATCTCAGGGGATGCTTCCTGATGGTGATCCTATGCCTTTCTGGCCGTCCCCGCCACAGGCCAGGGCTAAGCGAGGATGCTTTCTGGGTACCAACCTGGAGGCCCAGCCTAGAGCCCGCCCCTCCGCCAGCCCGTGGATTTTGTAAGCACCTGACTCCCTGCACCCGTTCCTTCCTGCTTAAGATAGCCTGAGTGTCTCTGTCCTTAGATACTGACTGACCCCAGACTGATAGGTGTAGAAGGACAATTACAGCCCTCAAGGCATCAGGAAGCCAGGAAATTAGCTATGATTAGGCCCTGTGAAGTGTGGGACCACAAGGAGAGGCAGGAGAGGGATGCTAATTAATCTCAGGCCAAGTCTTTTAAATCGCACTGACTCTGGGGCCAGCCATTAAGCCACAGTCTAAGACGCAAATATGGCTCCTGATAATAGAAGGCTCTCAAAACAACCAGCAGAACTGGCTTAAGTGGGAAGTGGAGAAAGGCCTCATTAACGACAAATTAATATTCATTGCTGGGGACAAAAGGAGGCCTCCAGGCTGTGCGCCCTGGGCCTGCTCATCAGCGCTCAGATAAGGCAGGAACCGGCTTCCCCATTTCATCATGCACCACTGGGTCTGCCTTCACAGGCCCAGGGTTTGAGTCCCAGCCTACCCTCTTCCCTTAGTAGCTAGGTGACTCTGAGCAAGTCACCTTCCCCCTCTGGGCCTCAATTTCTTCAGTAGCACAGTGAGGACATTTCCTGAGCGAACAGGGTTATGGTAGAGGTGGCTGGGCCCGTAAGGCACACGAAAGCATTTACCGTAGACCCATCCGTTTGGCACAGTGTAAAATGTTAGACAGCAGTAGTTCTCGATCTTGGTCAGCACAAGATTAATACTGACAATAATTTTTAAAAACCCACTGCTTAAGCCTCACCAAGTCAGAATCTCTGAGGGTGGGGCCTGGGCATCTGTATTTTAAAACCTCCCCAGGTGATTCAAATGTGCGATCAGGGCTGAGACCCACGGGTCCCAGGTAAGGAAGGCGTGAGTGACTGCAAGGTCAGGTCTCAAAGGATGTATGAGCAAGGACACACAACTTGGAGCGCAAGATCTGAGTCTGAGTCTTGATTCTGCCATTTCTTAGCCATTGACCTTGGAAAGTTCACAGAACTTTACCGAGCATCCACCTCCTTTCCCTAAAAAGAGGGACGCCATTGAAACTTACCCGCCAGGGCTGCTGTGAGGGCAAAGGAGGAGCTGAGCCCACGCCTGGTACCCAGGGTGGGTGCTCCGAAACGTAAGCTTCTGACACAAGCAGCAACCCAAAGTGGCGTCTCAGTACCATGGGGCAGGGGCTCCGTCTTACTCACCTGCTGTATCCCTGGCATCTAAGATCGTGTCTGCCACATAGTAGGTGCTCAATTAAAAACTGCTGTGTGAATGAGTTATTGTGATGGGGCTCTAAGTCTGACCTTCTTACACTCCTTAGTGAGGCTGGGGTGGCCCCAGCCAGAAGGGAAGACCCATACGGCAGAGAGAAGACTCTTTGGAGGCTGGTTCCACATGCTGAAAGGCTCCACGGCAGTGCCCAGCAGTGCCCGCCTCTCGCCTATGGGGTTTTCAATGCCCTCATTCTATCTCTGTCCCCACAACAACCCCACACTCCTTATTCTAAAGTGTGAGCTGGGTGACTCTGCCTTGGGTTTCCAGACCTGGTGCCATCCTCGGCGCTGAACTTTGCTGGGGGCTGTCCGTGAATGGCGTCTTAAGGCTTCTTCAGCTTCTTGAAACTGGGTTCTTCGGCCATAATCTGCACCGGAGATGAGGGAAGGAGACTTGGTAAGGGACCGATGACGGGCTCCCACTCATGGATTGTTTTGTGACTTATACCTAAAAGGCATGTCAGTGTGCCCAAAGTCTCATATATGACAATATTTACTGTAGCACTGCGTGTAGCAATAAAACATTAGAAAACAAACTCAATGCTCAGCAAAAAGAAAATGGGTAAATAAGCCCAAGCACATCCATGACATGGAGTAATATGTGTACAGCCAAATCAGGCAGGTCTCTATACACAAAGAACAATCTCCAAGATGTAGGAGCAAGGCACAGGACCGTGTGTACAATATGTCCATTTGTGTAATAGAGGGTAGAAGGTAGAGATATTTGTTCAATGAATGAATGAATATACTGCTGGTGCTCCAAGGACACAGAATCCTATTATCTGCTCCTCCTTGCAACCTGGACCAGGGAAGGCCTAATTCTAATGAGCAGCAGGCCTGCCCTACCTCCTCCACCATGAAAGGTAGGAGAGCCATTGGTTTCCTTCTTTGCCCTGGGGGCTAGGAAGCTCCTGCTAAATTCCATGTTGAACTATAGTGGCTCTCCTAGGAAAACATTTTGGAACATCACTTTCTCCTACTATCCTTTTGTTGTTGTTTTGACTTTAACTATATATTAATGCTTGAGATCTTACCGTATCTGTGAAGCCATGAATTAGAGGAGCACAAAGCAAAGTTATTGTATGCCACTTTACATTTCTGATGTCATTTAATTTTCCTGGCAAGTCTGCAAAGTAGGCATAATTACTCCCAATTTATGGGAAACTGAGGGTCAGAGAAGTTCCAGTTGCCTAAGGTCTCAAAGGTTGAATGTGGCAGAACAGGGCTCATTCAAATACAGCTCTGCTTCATTCCAAATCCTCTTCTTGCAACTCATAGCACCCTGGCCTCTCACACGAGGTGGGCTGCCTCGAAGGGCACTCTGACACACCCTAGGGATAGGCATCCTCCTTAGTCCTAAGAAATTAAAATCCAAGGTTTCCTAACTGAATGAATGTACCCCGTCTTGGCTGAGTGGACCCCTGTTGGCCAAGGGAACCCTGAAACTGACTTTCTGATCATGTAGGGTCAGACACACCTCATTATACCCCCTCCCTTTTGGAGTTTAAACAAAGTAATTGACCAACATTAAGGTTAAAATAGAAATCATAAGACTGACAAAACAGACTCTTTGTGGCAATAAGATATGAAATTATAAATAAGACATAAAGTCATGCAAGGCAAGGGTTAATCCATGCCTTACAATCCATAAAATCTAGTTAACAGGTCCTTTTTTTTTTTTTTTGCTGGCAAAAAAAAAAAAATCACATAATAGATAACAGATCCCCTTATCTTAACTTAGGCATTCCTTCCTACTGACTCTGAATTTTTAGACAAAGCTTAACTCTCTCAAACAAGTGTCAATTAAAGAATCTTTAAATTCACCCTTGACTTTTCAGGCCAAACCAATGTACACCTTCCATGTATTGATTTATGTCTTTGCCTATAACTCCTGGCTCCCTGAAATGCCTCCCCAAGCTGTAATCTGACAACCTCAGGACCACGTACTCAGGGCTTCTTGGGTTTGTGTAGCCTTGGGCCACATTTACTCATATTGGCTCAGAATAAACGTCTTTAAATTATTGTACAGTTTGGTTTCTTTCCATTAAGAGTCCCATTAACAGTCCCATTTTATTTTATTTTATTTTTTGGGACAGAATCTCGCTCTGTTGCCCAGGCTAGAGTGCCGTGGCATCAGCCTAGCTCACAGCAACCTCAAACTCCTGGTCTTGAGCAATCCTTCTGCCTCAGCCTCCTGAGTAGCTGGGACTACAGGCATGAGCCACCATGCCCAGCTAATTTTTTCTATATATTTTCAGTTGTGCAGCTAATTTCTTTCTATTTTTCAGTAGAGACCGGGTCTCACTCTTGCTCAGTCTGGTCTTAAACTCCTGACCTTGAGCAATCCTCCCACCTCAGCCTCCCAGAGTGCTAGGATTACAGGTGTGAGCCACCACACCTGGCCAACAGTCTCATTTTAAAGATGACAAAGGCATAAAGAGACAAAGTGGCTTCCCCATGGTAACCTGACTCTGTGAGCCGTGCCATTTCATTCATTCAACTGCCAAATCATTTTTGGTGCCTATCCTAGGCTGGACACTGGGTTGAGTGCTTTTCTATTACATTCTTGGGCTTCCTGTGCTTTTCTTAGGGGACACATAAAATTGATTTAAAGTACGCAGGTTATGGATTAACTAAATGCAGAAATGAATGGTGGATTCAAATATTACACAAAGGTCAGGTACCAGACTTAAGACCTATCAAGTGAAAATCAGATATAATCCAAAATTACACTGGAAATTTCCTTAAAGTACTGACAATTGAAATGCAGGAGATGTAAAAGCTAGGAAATTACTGTTCTGGCTACCTATGCTCTGGGCCAGTAGAGGCCAACACTAGTTTAAAAAGGAATAAACAGACTGGGCATGGTGGTTCACACTGTAATCCCAGCACTCTGGGAGGCTGAGTTAGGAGGATCACTTGAGCTCAGGATTTCAAGACCAGCCTGAGCAAGAGCAAGACTCTGTCTCTACTACAAATAGAAAAATCAGCTGGGCGTACACCTATAGTCCCAGCTATTCAGGAGGCTGAGGCAGGAGGATCGCTTGAGACCAGGAGTTGGAGGTTGCAGTGAGCTATGATGATGCCACCGCACTCTACCCAGGGCAATAGAGCAAGGCTCTGTCTCAAAAAAAAAATAAAAATAAAAAAATAAACAGGATTTCTTGTCTTCACTCTCAAGCTCTTTCTGGCCAAGTGGGCACAGTTAACTTGTGTTCATTAACTAGTTATCTGCTGGTAAATTCATGTGCACAGGATGTGGTTCCACGGTCCCTAATTAATTTTAACTAACGGAGCTTCTGCTCCGCCTGGAGGCCGTGCACTCACCACGTGTCCCCTCGGCGTGCGAGGCACTTCTGGAGAAGTTGGGGTGAACGGCTTTCCGTGGTGAGGTCTTCAGCTCGGAATTGGCCCCGTTCACGTAGACAGAGAAACCTTGCTCCAAGTGCTCCAGCCTCAATTGCATGGGGTCCTTGGCTTTCAACTGCTTTAATATCCTGCAAGAGAAATGATCGCTTGCTCCTCGTTGTATGAGAATCTGGGCGGCTGCCACCCCCAGGCCAGGAGTGAACTGCTGTTCTGAGGGTGAAGCGTGTCTAATCAGAGGCCGGGGGACGTGTGCCCAGCTGTTTGTCTGCAAACAGCCTCTAAAGAGGCCCATTACACACGCAGAGAAGCAGCGAGGGGGAGACTGTTTAGGACCCTGCAGGGAAGTTTCTGCTCTCGTTCTAAGGCTCAAACACACGTTAGCAAAATCAAACCCACATGGTCCCTGCCCCATGGTGGCTGAGGCAGAGAGGGGGCACATGTGTGCATCCTGCTATCACACAACCTGGATTTTTCTGAGATGATCCCAATTCTATGCAATTGCACTTTGTGTGGATAGTGGAAATTTGTTTGAACCTGTAACAAAAAGTGGCTTAGGGTCTAAGGCTTTGTGAGAGGGATTTCACATAACACATTTACAAATCAGAAAACATCCCTCGCAAGACTGGGCAGGCTAATTTTTTGCTTCAGTGAATATATGTGTTCTCAAACACTCACCCTTGATATCTCAAATGGCATCATTTCGTATTCTGATGCGGTTAAAAAATATATCCATGTTTGATTATAGGTGTTTGTTCGAGATTAATGATATGATTATCACATCCTTTGGCTAAAAGGGTCTTGGCATGAGTGTGGCCAGGTCTCTAATTTAGCTTTCACTAAAGCCCATCCTCGCACTTTGATCTTGGTCCTTTTCCCACTCCTGACATTCCATTGCCATAGACGGTGCACAGTGTTCTCTTTAGCCCCCTCCAGAACTGCTTCCATGCGACACCAAACCCTCCAGTATCTTTACAAACACCTTTACCCACCCCCACAACTAGATTTATACAGACAACCAACCAACACCGCAACAAGTGTGCATCTTCTTTAGTAGTTAAATAAGCACCTACCAAATGAGCAAAATTTAAATTAAAAAAATAATAGCAGTCACATGAAAGGCGTGTGCTGTGAGCCAAACTCTGTTCTAAATGCATAGACAGTTAATTCTCATTATTTGCTGTAGGTGTGGTCTAGAAAGCCACTGTGAATAAGGAATTAGTGAATACTGAGCCATTGCTTCTAGGGGAAATATAGGATCAGGTTCCTGAGAGTCTCTGGCCACAGCATTTTCATGAACCGATCACTACACAACCCTGTTATACGCGAGCCTCTGTTCAAAGACGCCCTCTCGCACACTACTGATTCATGCGCACTGAGCTCGCGGTCAAGAGCATCGCAACTCCTACTGAACACAGCTTACCTAACACACACATTTCCTTCAGAAGGCCCATCACAGCCTTCTTGTGCTTAGGAACCCTGCACGGCATTCCAGCAGGATGACTGGGGGCCAATTTAAATCGTAAAATCATCAACAAAAAGCACAAAAATGTGAAAATGTGGCATTGGGTATACCTTGAAAGAAAAGGACACTCGTTTACACCGAAAAAAGGTGGCAAAGTGTTGCGCGGTTCTGCCTCAGCTGGCAAGGTGTCAGGTGACTGCGGTTTTTTGCTGCTCTGCACATGTCTGTGAATGACCAAAAAATGCGCAGGAATGGACCTCGGGGTTACAGATAAGTTGTCGTGAGTGAGCAAATTCACAGATACGGAATCTGAGAATGAGAATCAGCTGCATTAAGACATTAACCTCCACAACAACCCTATAGGGCAGGGGTCTCCAACCATTTTGGCACCAGGGACCAGTTTCATGGAAGACAATTTTTCCATGGATTGGCGGGGGAATGGTTTCGGGATGATTCAAGCACCTTGCATTTGCTGTGCAGTCAGACCTCTCTGCTAACGCTAATCTGTGCTTGCAGCCGCTCCCCAGCACTAGCATCACCGCCTCAGCTCCACCTCGGAGCATCAGGCAGTAGAGTCCCATAAGGAGCCACAGCCTAGATCCCTCCCATGTGCAGGTTATGTAGGGTTCACGCTCCTATGACAGTCTAATGCCACTGCTGATCCGACAGAAGGCGGAGCTCAGGGAGGCAGCTGTAAGTACAGAGGAGCCTCGCACTTCCTGCTGTGCGGCCGGTTCCTAACAGTCCACAGACCGGTACTAGTCTGGGCCCAGGGGTTGGGAACTACAGCTATAGGGTAATTACTTTCATTATCCCCACTTAGCAGATAAGGAGACTGAGGCAAAGAGAAGTTAAGTAACTTGTCCAAAGCCACACCGCTTGTCCATGGCAGGGCTAGCGTGCAACATTAGGCAATTTACCTCCAGAGTCTTCACCTCAACGAAGATACCGTCTAAAGCTATCAAGATGCTGCTGAAATTGGCAAACCCAGACATTGCTTATAACCCACAGCACCTTGTTGGAAGTAATATAGGAAAATGCTATGTTGGTTTTTCCCCAGTAAGCACATTCTGGCAAATTGTTTCTAAGCAAGAAGATGGCTGGTGTTTAGTCATAACAAAACCCCGACAACAACCCAAATGTCCACCACCAGGTGGGAGGAAGCTGGGCTATTGCGCAGCTGTTATAATCATGAAGACTGTGTAGAAAGAAACATGGGGGATTGTTTGTGATATGTCCAGAGAGGGGTGAAAAAATGGTACTTGCATAGTAAAAGCAAAGTTGGACAAAAGTGAGTTTCTGGCCCCAGAGCGGAAGGTGATAGACGTAAAATGAAATTGGCTGTCGGGGTAAGGTGGTGGCATTGTGCGTGATTTCTTTGTTTACTTTTAAATGTTTCTTTAGCGGCTGCTACATCCATCTTTTCAACAATCGTGGCAGGAGCATTTATTACAGACCGCTTATCTCTTCCAGCCTTGGAAGCCTGGGAGATGCCTGATTGTTGGGCGACAACATACAACAGAAGGAAAACACAAGTAACTAAGAGACAATTTCCAAACACGGCAATAGCTATGCTCGCCGGAGCAAACCATCGAGGGACGCCATGGCCACCAACAGTCTCCGGGGAGAGAGCAGGAGCCCACACCCCGGGAGGCCCTGTGGCGGGGCGGGGCAGGAAATCTGATCGCCCAAGCAGAGAGCCCGCCTCAACTTCTCTCTGGTCCTCTGATGCCACATGCCACGTTAACAGTCAAGGCATCCAGTTCCCCGGGATCCAGGGCTGGCACTCCTCGTGTGCCTCTCCTTAAACAGAATGATTTATGAAAATGTGGATTTATGAAACTGATAAATTAGTAGATAATTATTCAGACTGTGAAAGGAATTGCTAAAGGAACTCCCCCTACTGCAGCTGAGAGCATCAGTAATATTCAGGTGGCATCGAAGAAAAGTGTGTTTTTTAATTGATAGCCTACTTTGCATAAAAAGATGTCCTAGGTGCAGCGGATTCAGATAAATCAGAGTCAGTCCCTGCCCTATCTAGAATCCGGCCCTGCCACCTGCTGCCCTGCCACCCTCTACGCTCTTCCCGGTTTGAGTTTTTTCACAGCACACATATCACACTGGCTGACATTATTCTATGCTTTATCTGCGTATTTGTTTGTACTCCATCCCTCCTTCCCCACTGGAATCCAAGCCCCTGGGTACAGGCATCCTCCTGTTCCATCCTGAGGAACAATGGGGAATGCTCTCAATGCCTATTTCTGGAAAAGTGGCCCCAAGGAACTCAAGGTCCAGCAGGGGACATGGCTGAGTACCCTACTGCTCACAGATATCATTTTCCTGGTGCATGTCACAGCCACCATTTCCAGTTTACCTGACCTTTAGAGTCACCTGCGCAGAGCTCCTTTGCATGGATGAGGAAGTGGAGGCTCAGTGAGGTAGGAGCACAGGGTGTCATGAGGCAGTGCGTGACTGGGGACCTGCATGGTTGAGGGCTGGGGTGGCTGGGGAGGACTGTCCCCCTCATGAGCCACCACAGCAGGGACCCAGATGGTGAGGAAGAGCTGGGGAGCACACAGGGCAGGGCCTGATTGTGACTGGGCTTCTGGCTCTGGCGTCTGAGCGGCGTAGTTGCTATGGAACGCGGGCGAGCCACGTGGTTCCACCAGACCTCACTTATCTCAAGGGTCCATCTACAAGTTCTCCCAGGGTCAGCCCTGGATATCGACTTGGGGAGAGGACATGTTAAATATTAAGAGCATGATCATGATTATGATGGTCTCTGACTTGGCTGGTGGGATTACTGTGAGATTATTTCATCCTCCAATGGCCCTGGGACTTAGGTTCCACCGCTGGCCTGTTTTATCAGGAAGCCACGGAAGCAGCTGAGCCTGGATTTAAGTTCTGGCCCCTAGTAAGCCACCACCCAAGGGTGGCCCCAGAGCCTGTGCTGTTACCTACCCCGTTCTGCTGCTTCTTGACTCCAACGCCAGGCACCACGCAACAGGGGCTCTGAGCAAGGGACAGAGCAGGGAGCAATGGCTCCCAACTAGGGCTTCCTGGCTTCATCATAGCGTTGACCTTTGCACTAATGGTAATGCCAGGCACTTATAAGGCACTCAGTGAAATCCTCCTGAGTGAATGGCAGGATGTCGCCCAGCATCTATGGCAGCTGTGTCCTGGGCAGATTCCTGCGAAGAATTCACTCCAGTGGTTGCACACCCCCTCGAGTGTCACAGCAGCCCGGACAAGCAGCCTGAGTCTTCATCTCCCTCAGTGCCCACTGTAAGGCTCAGAGGCTGGTTTTCGACCTGTCATATAACTAGGTTTCTGAGTAAACTGCAGTGTATTCCCACAAAATCCCTCCTTAGTGAACTTCACAGCCACCCAGTTTTCTCTCCTCTTGATTATTTATGACAACATCAAACAAAACCTAAAGTACACCCCAGCTCCACCACTTCCTGGCTGTGGGACCTGGGGCAAGTTGCTCACTCCTCTGGGACTCTACTTCCTTGTCTGTAAAATGGGTGCAATAACCCTCTCTGCCTCCCTGGGTAGTGTGCAGACAAGGTGAAATGGTGGGGCCAAGCGCCTAGCATGTGGCTGGAACTCTGCAAAAGGTTCCTTTGAGGCTTGACTCAACCTTAGCTCACGGCTTTCCCATTCTTCACAGAGCTCCATCTGGAGGTGTTTCTTTCCATCTGTACCTTCTGACATCCCATCATTAAGACAGCTCACTCTCCGTGGCAACACATCCCCCCCCCAAATTTTATGGCACCTCCTTTTTGATATAGTTTTTAATTGCCTTTGTGCTGCAACCTTGTCTCTGAAAATTCTCATTTATGCTATCAGCCAGTACCTCTTTGCACACTTATTGATCCCTTGATTAATGAGAAACAATTTGCTCATAAGGAACTATGACAGTCTCTCCCCAGACAAGTCACATGTAGATGATTAAACGATCACCCAGGTGTTTGGTGACACCATCCAGCCTGCCAGAAACTGAATAAAAACATCCTACTCCATGGCATTAATGATGACAAAAGCCCACGCTGGTCTAATCAGCACGAGCCTTCGCTATTCTAGTGTGAGGTTGGCGCTGGGGTGGGGGCGACGCGTGCAGAGCAGCTGGGCACAGAGGAAACCACCATGGCATTTCTAGCAGGTCACAGAGAGTTAATCTGTTTGGAAGTTCTCCACCAGGGATGGTGCTGCCATCGCACGGGCCGGTATCTGGAAAGTGGGCAAGTGTTGTCGGCATAGATACTGGGGGACTTAATGGAATTTAATAAAGGAGCAGGGGACAGGAATGCTAAACTCCTACTACAACACACTGGACTATCCTGGACCACAAAAACTTGTTCCACCCAACATGCCACCAGGGCCCCTTTTGATACCACTAGGAGTCCAATCGGTGAGACAAGCGCTGAATCCACATTCAGGATGACATTACCTCCCCTACCAAGACTCTTGTCTGCAAGACCCCAACCCCCCTCCCATAACACAAGGGTCCAAATTAGTACCCAGCTCATTTCCTCCCCCTTGTCCAACCAGTTTTGTGGGCCTGCAGCGTTCTGTTTGCTTTGTGCTTTAATTCGAATTCATTACCAACATTTTATAACTCAGGAGATTTCACAACACAAATCTAGGTTTTCAGCTCTCTGGCAAACCTGAAAGACCTGGACCCCAGGGGACTGTGTTCCCACAAACAACTGTCCTGAGCTGAGCAGCTTGGAGATGAGAGCTCCCGGTGCCCACTGCCCCCCTGAGCTGGCTTCACTCACTGCCTGGCATCTCCTAGAATTTGAGTTTGCAAGCCCAGCTTACTCCAACGTTCAAGTCCTGAAGACAAACCACAGTGAACTGAAAATGAACCCTCTCAGCCCTGCAAAGGAACCGAGGAGGTGATGCCTCTTTCAAACCAGACCACAACGCATTGACCTTGATCACTAAGCATCACACCTATTGCACACTTTTTCAAGAACCAGCACTCTAGAGACAAAATCAGTCCTAACTTTAAATGACATATCGACCAACCTCAAACACAAATGTAAAATGACTCCACCTTTATGTAACTGGACATGATTATAGACTCAGGTTTCAAGAGACCGTCAAAGCCTGTAAGACTGCAGACTGGGTTATTCAGGTGACTACTGCACAAGCCCTGCCAAGTTCAAGCCTTTTCTTGACAATCCTACCTTTCTCCCAGAACAGAAGCAGGGTGGCAAGAGGAGACACTTAAACGTCGAATAGTTTGCAACAGCTCAATCCAAAGATGCAATTAAATCAGTGAATGGAGAAACAGGAGCTGAGAGTGCAGATCACGTTCTAAGCCTCTGCGTCCTATTGCTACGTGCAGCAGGGCCTGCGTGCTGTTAATAAATCTAAATAGATTTGTATTTGTGGCTAAATATTAAGGGCTGCCGTTGAGCGGCTTCATCTTACCGGTTCCTCTGCTGGAGCAATATTAAATACTCATCGTGTTTCTCATCAAAGTCTGTCACCATGTCCTTAGTGTAACCCTGAAACGAAGAAACAAAGCAGTGTGATATCGGAATGCAGGGGAGCACTGACCCAGAGCCTGGGGCCCTGTGCACAGGCGCAGGGAGCCGGGGGTGGGGGAAGAGGCTGGCCTGTGACGAAGGCCCAGCTCCCTGGGTGCATCACTCGGGCGACCCAGAGCCCCAGAGACTGCCTGATGGCCCAGTGGGGCTCAGGCGTACACAACTTTAACAATCTACAAAAAGGAGAAGGTCAGCTCCGCAGTCCCGCTGCTGCATCCTCCTCTGTGCCCCATAAAGTCAAGGGCTCTGACAAGGTTTGGGCTTTACTGTTTACTCAACACTCATCATTTAGTTATCTCGATTGTCATAACCAGATGCAACTCAAATCCGGCGTTTAAAAGGGGATCGCATTTTCCCCTTGCCATTGCAAGGGAAGTGCAGGTTTATGTTAAACAATGCAGTCATTACAGAAACATCTGACCCAGGGAGCAAAGGCACGCTGGAGGTGGACATTGGCGGTTCTGCTCCTCCTCTTCTTGCGACAGGGTGTAGATTTTCTTTACGGAACCATGCAGCCTCTTTTAGTTCATTGGCTTCCTTAGGAGCCCTTGAAGGTGCCTTTGTGCTCCTCTGGGGTCACATGACCTCGGCCTTGCCAATCAGTATAGTGCTACCCCCAGCCACACCGAGTCACTGCTTCGGGAGTGAGCCTCGATCCAAGTCAGCCCTGGGACTTCTTGGGACTACTCTTGGGAAAGAGCTGCACTCTTTCCACTCGGGTGCTAAGCCAACGAGATGCAGGCCTGGAATTATCTGAGTATGAAGCCAATAAAAAAGACAGCAGATCCAAACGACTGGAGAGGAACGGATTGCTAATGACATCATTTGAGTCCCAGGATCCACCCATGCATGAAGAGGTATCTGGACAATTCAGTTATTGCTTTAGAAGTTTCAGCTGCCTTTCTGTCATATGTAGCCAAAAGAATTTTAAGTAATATGCTATAATCTAACCATCAGAGATAACCCCTATTATAATTTATTACAGCCTTAAAGAGGGATAATTAATGTGTACTAAATGTCGTATATTTAAAGTGGACATGTACATATACCTGTAGAACCTGAGTAATAATTTGACATCTATTCCTCTGAATGCTTTTCTTCATAATATACATAAATACTTATCTATACACAAACATGTACCTTCTTTTAAACAAAAACGGGATCATACCATAAACAATGCTTTGTGATTTGCTGCCTCTTAAAGAACTTTTTGCCAAGCAATAGATTAAAGATACAACATCAACTTGGTACTGGTTGCAAGTTATAGCAAGTTAGAGGGATTAAGTTTTAAATGGCGAGTAGGACATTTGTAATAAATGCAATCTGTATAGGAATCTTAATGATTATCACAGGAAGAAGAGAGAGAGGAAAAATATAATACCCAACATTTCTCTTCTTAAAATCTCACTTTAGGCCGGGCGCGGTAGCTCACGCCTGCAATCCTAGCACTCTGGGAGGCCGAGGCGGGAGGATTGCTCAAGATCAGGAGTTTGAAACCAGCCCGAGCAAGAGCGAGACCCGTCTCTACTATAAATAGAAAGAAATTAATTGGCCAACTAATATATATAGAAAAAATTAGCCGGGCATGGTGGCGCATGCCTGTAGTCCCAGCTACTCGGGAGGCTGAGGCAGAAGGATTGCTTGAGCCCAGGAGTTTGAGGTTGCTGTGAGCTAGGCTGACGCCATGGCACTCACTCTAGCCTGGGCAACAAAGCAAGACTCTCAAAAAAATAAAATAAAATCTCACTTTAACCCCATTATCTTACTAGAACCCTACCCAAGGGTGACCCAGGACCACCTTAACTAAATGTCATGGTCCTTCTCCTCATCCTTTCCAAATGCTACAGGCCATGGGGAACTGCTAACCCCAGATTCTCTTCCTTGGCTCCTACAGTACTGAATGTGCCTCCCTTCTTGCCCACGTGGCTTTCTGTCTGTGCCTTCTCCAGCCATTCTTCCTCCTTTGCCCTTGGTTGTAGACAGTCGGTATCTGTCTGTCTGTCTCTCTCTCCATCTCACCTGCCTTGAGTCTCCCTCCCTGTCTTCACTTCTCCCTCTGATTACAGGGAAACAGGGCCCTCTGGATGAGGAGCCCAGATAGTCACTCCTAGTCCAGGGCTGACAGCTGGTCCTCCTTTCTCCTCCTGTTTCCTGCAGGACCCCAGGTTGCTGCCATTTCCTTATCTCTTCTCCTGTCACCCCCACTTTGCCTCCCCAGCACCCCTCTCTCTAGACCCACTTGGGGAACAGGATGTGGTACCCCTATCTTCTATCCTGATGTCTCTGAAACATCCGAGTTTTACTGGGGCTTTCCTGCTAGCCAATATGGCCTACCAGGAAGTGAGCAATAGTAAGAAAGAGTGCTATTATGAAATTATAAGGAATTTTTAAAGAAAATCAAACTAGCAATAAGCTTTCTCTACTCTTTTATTTTCCTGGCTTCCTGAGATGCCCAAAGAAGTTCCTCTGTCCTCTCCTGGGACTGAGCCCTGCCTCACCATGAGGGCAAGAACGGTACCTGAGACCTCAGCCCTCGGGAGAGCTGCTTTGCAGGGTGCTGGTCTGGGGACAATGCTCGGTTCCTTCCAGAATAACAGCACGTGTATGGTGCGAACAGTTTATGCAGCATTTCCAAATACAAGATTCTCCTTTGATCTTCACAGCAGCCCTTGAAGTAGTTATTATTACCCCATTTAAGGTACAAGGAAATCCATCCCGTGCATCTTCCCAGAACACAGACCCTACTCCATGGCAATTTACATAACCATTTTGAAATATTAAAATGACCGTTGCTGTATTATGGTATGGAATGAAACATTTGATGACATTTTTAGATGAAATATGGGACTTCAAAGAGATGTCAGCTTGTGCTGGGCTGCCCTGGACTTTCACCTCAAACCCTGCGGGAAATGCAACTATTCTCCTCCACTGGGAGGGGGTGTCACCAGAGAGACTTGAGCGGGGGCATCCATCCATCCCCACTCCTCACCAGCCCTGTGATGCGAATATAAATCACCTGGGAATTGCGGCAAAATGCAGACTCTAATTCAGGAGGACTGGGAGGTGCCCACGTCTGTATTACTATTTTCTTTTTCTAGAGACAGGGTCTTGCTCTGCCACGCAGGCTGGAGTGCAGTGGTGCAGTCAGAGCTCACTGTAGCTGGGACTACAGTGTGTGCCACCACACTTGGCTAATTTTTGTTGTTGTTGTTTTAGAGATGGGGTCTTGCTATGTTGCCCAAACTGGTCGTGAACTCCTGGTCTCAAGCGATTCTCCCATCTTGGCCTCCCAAAGTGCTGGAATTATAGGCCAGCCTGTAATTTCATGCCTGGCCCCAAGTCTGCGCCTCTAACAAGCTCCCAGCTAATGCCCATGGACCACACTTTGAGTAGCAAGGCCCTAGACTAGCCAATCTTATTTCTCACTACTCACGATACCCCACCTCCAGTCAGTTTATCTTTGAACTTGAGCTGGGAAGAACATAAGCTTTGGAGTCCAGGCCTGGCTCCAACTCCCAATACTGCCACTTAATTTATCTGTAGAGTGGGGGCAATGCCAGTACTTGTCTGGTTGGACTTTTCTTTCCCTTATAGGGTTAAACAAGGGATGAATACAATAACAGTGGGAAGGTCTTAGCACAATACCTGGCGCGTACAAAGTTCTCAATGAACATCGGTTATACTCACATTTCTAGAGCTCCAATACGCAAATAGCACTATCCTAGCCCCTCCCTCCCCACCCCATGCTTGCTCCTAACCTGATGCCTTAATCATTCTATTCCCTTTTCCAGAAATCCACCCATCTCCCTCCAGCCTCCATTCATAGATTTTCCAAGACCCAGCTCATTCCCAAAGCCCCCATGAAAAAAGTTTCATGAAAAAGGTTCCCTTGCCTTTCTCCACACCCCCCCCAACTTCAGTTCATTCTGAAACCCTGCAATTAGTATTAAATTATACACAATACAGTGCGAAATAGGATATAATTAAATGCTAAGTTGTTAGCATTTAACTATGCATATTGCTCCCTAATTGTCTGAGGATTTGGAGACGTGGGGTGAGTCCAGAACTCTGCTATTTATCTCCTCTGAGCCTCAGTTTACTCGTCTGCAAAAAGGGGACATTAATAAGGTCTATCTCACAGGGCTGCTATAAGGATTAACTGGGATAAAAATAGAAGCAATTTGAGATCTTTTTCTTGCTTTTCTTATCGATTCCCCAGTTGGATTATAAATTCCGGAGGGCAGACCCGTGGCATGGGGAAGCGGCAGGAGAAGGATGTTGCTTGGGGGCCTGGCTCCAGTCTGGGCGTCAGCGCTGTCTAGCTCTGAGATGGTAATTGCTAAGGTTGACTAAGTGCTTACTACGTGCCAGGCGCTATTTGACCCCTTTCCATGCCTAATTTGGTTAATTCTCACCACAACCCTGGTCGGACACCAGACACTGCCTCTCCCTGGCACGGCACCCTTCATTGTGCCGAGGATTTGTTTCCTTATCTATGAAATGGAGGTATGAATACTTAAGGCACCAATAAAGGGAGAGGACCTGTAAAGTGCCAAGTTTATCATCAGCGTTTTCCAGCAAACATTTGCCAAGTGCTCACTGGGAGGCCGGCTCGCTTACATATGCAAGCAGGGCTTAACACAAGCTCTGGCCAGTACGTATTCAGCTACCAACTTGCCCGTGCAGGCTGTGCTCAACCGGCGGCAGCGCAGGCCCCACTCATGTCGTGTGCGGTGTGAACGGCACCTCCTGCCGTTGTGCAAGCGCATGCCGCAGCTGCTACTAGCCAAGCAGCCACACACTGCCCAGGGGGCCCTGCAGAGCGTTCTGGGAACACCCGTTCAATGGAAAGCACGAAGGTATTTTTCTACGAAGAGAGTCCATAACTTTCATCAGATGACCGCCTAGGCCTCCCCAAAAGGAGACAAATAATTATAATAAAATGCACAAAATGCAAA